CTCTTTGTTTCAATTATGACAATTATGCCTTTGATTGACCTGTAAATATGTGCTTGCAGGCGTCATTGGACAGGGCCATGTTGGAGGTAAGTAATGTGACATTAATGTTACAAAAAATGCTGGCAAACATTTTACATGTTTTATCAGGATGTATAATAAACCTTACAATTTTTAACAGGATATGCTAGTTTATGAATTTTGAATACCATGAAAGGCCCACTGTTTTTGGTGTTCCTTACACTAATTTTGGGTAGAGTGGTTAAGTATTAGAACTTGTGTGGGGATTTACCGATGTCAGGGTTCTCATCGGGGGGATTGGGAGAAATGGTGACTGGACATCTTGAATTTTAAAGACGTGTCCAGAAAAGTAGAGAGGACATTTCCCAAAGGGGGCAACTCTTTAAAGTGCCAACTAGCAAAGTTTGAATTTTCATTTAGTTTGGGGGCTCTCCTGTTGGACAGGAAATAAAGGAAACCAGTAAAGGGGATATAGCCTGCATTGAATATCCATCACTATTCTGTGTAACATTAAAAACAATATTTTGGCTGACTTTACACTTGAAATTGTACTGTTATCAGTGGAGTAACAGTAGCCATAGCATCTTAAGCAGGTGCTATGGGGCCCACTGGTGAAAAGGGGCCACATTAAGGGGGCTGTAGAGGCAATTGAAGCATAGAATATCTGTGTGCATATGAAGATAACATAAATCCAGTACTGTATCATTAAAGATTGCAGAGGTTGCAGTTGACTCTGTTCCCCGTTGACATTTACAATCAAGAAGAGCTGATGTCAGACATACAGCAGGAGACTTCAGAATTGTGGTTACTAGTCACAGATCCCCTTTGCAGCCTGTGCAGTAAAGAGACTTTGTTTAGCTGTCTTAGTAGTACACTGAAGGGTTTATTTCAATTAGGATGACCAGAAGTTTTTTATTGCCCTTAGAGCTTCTGGTCATCCTGGCTGGACTGAAATTATCTGTGCATGCCTAATGTATCAGTCTTCCTCGAGATGATCATTATTATTACTACTAAAACTCTTTTTTTTTAACTGCCTACTACACCACTAGCACTTGCCTGCTGTGGTGATGGAAGAGCTGGGAGGGCTTAGATTTTACACTGAGGTTCTGAGACCTGAGGCACTGAAAAACATTGGTGAGCTAAAGAGGACAGAGTAGTTAGCTGTAAAATTAATGTTAAAAGTTAATTCCCTGTACTGACACCCTCTCTTCTCTGACAACCACAGCTTTGGTTCCTAGTGGTGTACTGACTATGGTGACAGATCCCCTGGTACTTGTCTTTGATTGAGGCTACATTCACACTGAGCTGAGCATTTTCAAGTGTTTTTTTTCAGGTGTTTTGTGAGCAGATTTGCAAATATTATAGGTGTTTTTTCAGGCGTTTTTCATTTAGGATTTTTGTTGTGGACAATATAAACCTGTGTAGATGTGTCCTAGGCACATACAACAGGAAAACCAGAATCAAGCACATGGCTGCTGTACACAGAAGTACTGTACCTTTCCTCCCAGGCTCTGGTGGTTTTTGCCCAGGTTTTATAATGGGGATCCCTGGGATCATAAATACAGGGGTGGCCATGAATGAGAGCAATGAATGTCTGTGTCCAGATGCAGACTGACCTCCATGTTAATCACAAGATGTGTGTTTATAAAGTGTAGAGTGATGCTAAAAATGGGGAGCTGCTGTTTGAGCTGAAAATGCCTCAAAAACCTCTAAAAACACTTTCTTGCTGTCCAGGCATTTTCCATTAAGTCTATGTGGACAAAGATGCTCAAATCTGCCTGAAAAGTAGCTCATGTACTTTTTTGATCAACAGATGTTTTGTTACAGGAGACAAAACGCTCAAATGTGCACAGGTGCCATTGAAATGAATGGTATTTTCCTTGTTGACCATTTCTGAGCATTGAGCTTTAAGCTGAAGAGTGCTCAAGTGTGAACGGGGCCTCAAACATAGATCAGTAATGGTATGTTGGGAGGTTGCCAGAGGGACCCATAAGAATTAAGCTATGGAGCCCCATCATCTGTAGTTGTGCCAGTGACTGCTACATACAGTGCTGGGACAAGGCCATTTAGATGCCAAATGCCCCCCCCCCCCCCAATGTATGGACATTGTGGTAGCAAAAATCCCCCCCCCCCCACAAAAAAATTTAAACTTGAGCACTAATCTTCAAACTAACCCCCTAAGCATAAATTCCCTATGCAAACAAAAATTCTCTGCAAGCAAAATTCTCCCTCCTCCAGTACAAATCCCCCCTGCCAGCTCAAATCCTCTCCCTCCCAAAATCCCCCTGCACAAATCCTCTATCCCTCACATTTCCAATCTGAGCATAGATCTTACCTCCTCAAAATCTACCTCTCTCAGTGCAAATCCACCAAATCCCCTCTCTTAGCACAAAGCCCTCCTGTCATCCCTATTAGCACAAATCTTCCCGCAAATCCCCCTTGCTAACAAAAATCAGCTCTCCAAATCACTCCTTCTAGCACAACCCCCCCAAATCCCCACTGTGGCCAAGGCAGGCACCCTTTCTGCCCACCCCTTGTCCCAGCCCTGGCTACATAGCACGTCAGAGGTGGGTGAAAAACAAAACTAAGAGCATTGCTTTACCTATATTTTGGCAAGTGGTTTCTCTGTGTGTGTTTTAACTTGTTGTGTGGTTGGAGCTGCACGTTATTTCCTAAAACTAGGAAAACTATTTAGAATCCCAGGGACCAGAATGCTATGTAAGCTGTTGGTTGAATATCCTTTATCATGTTCTATATAGAAAAGATATTTCTTGTTTTCCCTTCCTTGTGCATCATATGGTTTATGAAAATTTCATATTGTTAATATCTTGTCACTCTTATAAAATGTTAACATGGAACTTTAGTCAACAATATGAGCTCCTTGTAAATGTTAACTTCTCTTTTCATATTCTAAGCTTTGGAATATAATTTCCTCAGAAAAGTGCAATGGTATCAATCTCAGCAAGCTAAAGCTGGCTATACACTAGTAGATTTTCAAATACATTGGTACAATCATTTGTACAAAAATTCTTTGTATACTCAATGATCAGACGAATGTCATTCGAAAGAACCCCCAAAACTCCATTTACTTTTCACAATTGAATAAATGTAAATTCTCGAACAAAAATCACATACATTGTTAGAAGTTCATTCGAGAAAAATTTTCCATCCTGCTTTTTTTAATTTTCTTCTAACTGTGGTTGAAAATGAATGTTGATATGCCACTAATGATTAGAAAATCAAATAAATGTTCTGAAAATGTATACTAGTGTATAGCCAGCTTAAGATGGGTGTTTAATATGCACTTGGGAAGTGTAGGGCCTGGTCTCTGCATTTCAGATATGCCAGAGTTTGGTGCTGTTAAGGGTTCCAACATAGCGTCTACTACTCTGTGTACCCCCTGTACGTTGAACGACTTCAACAACCTGTATTGCTGCAGCAGCACTATTGTACAGGTAGTGAAAGTAAATAGCAAGTAGGGTCTCAATATTTTAATCTCTACAGTAATTGTTCAATTTATCTTTCCTTTAAGGAAGGGTTAGGCTAGGTGTAAAGTGTTCATATAGGAGTGTTATGTTAAATGTTGGGAGATGCCCTTTTGTACGGCATAATATGTTTCACAGTTGGGATGCAGCAGACATTTTAACTGTTCTCAGTGCTGAGAGTTGCATGGGGTAAAACTAGTAGCACTGGACTGTCAGCAAATCAATTCAAGGCAACAATTATCCAATGAAATTAACCAATGAACTGCTGTTGGGTATAGACATATCGAAATTTGACCTGTGGCCAATGGCTGCAGGGCTGACCTGTGTATTCTGACATGGGGGAGGGTGAATCCTGTGGGAGTCCCCACTGTAGGAATACAATAGCGCAGCAGGGAATATTCCCATATCGCTTGTGTGAATGCAGAAATCTGTCAGGTTTCTTTTCATTCAATCCTATGGTAGAATGAAAAAAAAATGTCCATGTATACCCAGCTTTAGAAGAAAAGTTGTTACCTGTAAAAAATAAAAACAAGTATATACTCAACCTTTCCTGTTGCCCACACCATCACTCAGTTGCAGAGAAATGGTCCCACAAAATCTTTGCAGACACCTACACTCCTGGAAGTGTCCGTTTCTGCACACTAAGCTGTGAGCAAGTAGACTGGATCCCAATATTCTTTTCAAATGTTAAAGAGCAACTCCACTTTTGTTGAGAAAAAAACAATCCCCTTTGGGTAATCAATGTACATTACAGGGATTTTAACAAATTTTGCAGATTCCTACCTGTTTCTGGTCTGAAAGAATAGCTGTTTGTTAGACAATGTCCTACGCACTGTGATTTTTAATGGGAGTTACTAATTATTTTAATCAGCTGATGCACTTTGAGTGCCCTGATGAAAAAAGTTGCTGTGTCTGCATCCCTTTCAAAGTGATCAATCCGTAGGGAGTACTGCTTCAAAAATAACATTTTAATTGCAAAGAATGCTTAAAACCTGACGTATCTTAGTGCAGAGTGCTTCACTCAAGCAGGAAATAACATTTTTTTGGAGGCATTCTGTACACAGATTGCAATATTGTATTGAAGTCTACAGACAATTAAAGCAGCTGAAGTTTGAATAGAAAAGGTATTTTTAAAAACATTAAAGTGTAAATTCACCTTTACAGAAAATCTGTAAGGTGACCTTTCACTGGACCCCCTCCCCATCCCCCCTGGTCCTGCTGTACTAGTGTCCTGTGATCCCCCGCTGTCAGGCACAGGGGTGCCGCTTCACTGGTCTGAGGATTTGAAATCTCCTATCCGTACCTCTCAGCATGTACAGACAAGAGGCATTCTAATTGGTCAAGAGGCAATCTAATTGGTCAGCACCATCACTTGGATGGCGCTGACCAATCACAATCCATCTAGCCCAGGGCTTAAAATTTCAAGTCCTGAGCTACTAGCCAGGCCTTAAGAGTTACTCGCCACCAACAAACACACACAAACAGAGACACCTGTACACACACACAGACATGTTCATACACACACACACAGAAACATGTACACACATGCACAGAGACACATGTACACACACATACAGACACATGTATACACACACAGGCACGTAGAGATATGCATACACACACACAGATACATGTACATACACAGAAATACACATGCACAGACACATGTACATACACACAGACACATGTACATACACACATACACAGACACATGTACATACATACACAGACACATGTACGTACATACACACAAACACACACATGTACATGCACAGACACATGTACAAACACACATACATGTACATACACGCAGACACATGTACAGATACACACATGTACATACACACAGACGCTTTTTCCTCTCCCCTGAAGCCACCACTGGTTGACATAGAGGATCATGTGACCAGAGTGAGCTGAAATTAGGTAGACACACACACACACACACAGAGCCCTATAAAAAGTTGCAGTACTTTGTTGTTAACTCACAGAGCCGGGTATTGCACTCTAGGGGGAGGCAGAGAGCACAGCACACACTCCTTCATTTGCTTTCACGGCGCTCAGCTATTGAGCAGTCTGACGGCTCCCAGTGCCACTGACAGATCCGGCCTAAGCTCCGAGCCTGCTCAGCAAGATGGCCCTGGGGAACACACTCGCCCCCACCATAATTTCCACTGGCCATTGGCGAGCAGGCGAGTAGAATTTCAAGGCCTGATCTAGCCCATGCTGCCAGCATTGCAAGGAGAGGAGAAAGAGCCAGGAGGATTTCCTCAGACTTGGGAAGCGGCATCCTGGTGCCTGACAGCAGGGGATTGTGGGACACTGATACATTAGGACTGGGGAGGAATATGGGGAGATTTTCTGTAAAGGTGAACTTATACTTGATGTTACAATATGGCGTGTGTAGCAATTGAATGTGTGCTATATTATTTTTTTTATTTAGTATATTGTAGGTATAAAATGTACAGTATGTATGGAACATATATTCATATCCCATACATACATTGTTCTATATTTACAGCATATATTTTTCTCACAAAAGTGAAGTTACCCTTTAAAGAATATCAATCTAAAGTTGTAAGTTGTTTTTTTTTTTTCATTTTGAATACAAAGTGATCAAAACTCCTTTCCTTCTCAGACAGTTGTCACCAGAATAGGTGTCCCTATTAGAAGATTTCCCTTCTATTCCTGTTCTGGTGGAATTTTCCTCAATTTCCATCAACGTGACAGTGCTCTCCAGGACCAAACAGAGAGGGTGAAGCTAACAAGTGGGAACATAGACAACAATAAAAACCTGACAGGAGCTTTAACCATTTACTACTCTACCCAGAACTAAAAGTTGTGGGTTTAGATGCACTCTAATTTCAGTGTTTAATGTAGTGTACCTTTAAATAGTAAAGAACACCACTGCTGAATTTGCTGATGCTACAATACTAAAACCAGCACTATAGTGTATGTTTTTGGTTTTAAAAAAATGAGCACTGTAAAAAATCATGCTTAAAAAAAAGTCTTGCAATTATCTGGTAAAGGGTAACATGTATGGCATTTTAGCAATTCTTATGCAATCCTAAATGTTAGAAGAAAACAGTGGAGCAATTTACACCGGGATATTTCAAATTATGTTTAGCAGGTTAGATGCATATTATTCCATGAAGAAGCACCGTATACGGCTGCAGTGGAGACAGATGGGTTAATGGGATGTCACTAAGGATGAAATTGTCCTAGACAAGATCAGACACGTAGAATAAATGGATTAGAAGAATATCGGTAGAATTCTATCCTAAAAAGAAAATGTTTACAAATTGTTTTGTTTTGTTTCCCCCTGTGTATAAATAGAGAGATTGGTAAATGAGAAACACTTGATTTGAGAGATGGATTAGGATCAATTAGTTTATGCTTAAAATTCTGAAAAGACAAATTGCAGTACACATTTAAAGTATTTGATATGAGAACCATGGAACAAGCCACCATAATGCATCCCAATATACCATCATCAAACATTCAGAACAATCAAACCCCACCCAATCAGGCTATATACTGTGTATATTTTGTCCATATTTCGTGCCTATTTTAGGTCACTCTCTATTGGGAATCAGGATGTCAGGAATGGCCAAATGTAGACAGATTGGAGTTAAGCATTGCATACCTGTCTTTCCTTTGTAAACAGTCACAACCAGGGGCGGACTGACCATTTGGAAACTCGGCAGTGCCTGAGGGCCCGGGGTCAGTAGGGGGCCCCATGAGATGCCCCTGGTACCTTTTTCATAGGCTTTTTTGAGTTTGGGCAAGGACACAGGGGCCCCATGATCCCCTATTGCCTGGGGGCCCCATGAGTTGTCAGTCCGCCCCTAGTCACAACTACACTGATGTTAGGAACCTGAGAGAAGTTCATAGGCTGCAACTGCTAACCTTCTTCTGAACATGCTTGTCACCTGACTGACCTTGGCCAGAATATTTTGCGTTACTATCACTGAACAATTGTCTTGGAAAGAGCATGCATAAAGTAAAGTCAGACAATAGTTAGAAATCCTGGTCTCCATACTTGTTCTTGGCCAGTGACTCAGAAAGTATAAGCCCTCTGAATCAGCATAGTAGCCAGCCAGCTAGCATTTTCAGATGGAGGATTCAGCAGTGGTAGGCTATGTATGATGTCAGTTCACATTTCCTTGAAAGTGTCACAATTGTTCAGGTTTATTAACAAAATGTATTTTCCCCTTTATTTAGCTTTATTGACTTTGTCTTTGCACTGTACACTCAGAAGCTAGGAAACAGTGTATTAGACAGGCTATTGACGGGCAGCATATGTTGGCCTTCCAGTGCTGTTTCACCTCCTGACTCAATACTAATATGCACAAAAAAGTAAATAGAGTTAAATCTTTCATAAGTAAGCCTGGATAGTTGTAAAATAATTCAAAACTCTCCCTTGGATTTGTCTTATGCCCTGTAAAACTAAAAAAAAAAGAATTAAAATGGGAAAATGGGAGACTCAGCCTTTATAATAATTATAGCAGTTCTTTCTCATGAGACATGATTTGTTTTAGTTCATGATGGGAGCATAAAGAAGGTATATATCTCTGGTTCATCCTTGTTTATATGATTGTAATTCTCGGAGGAGGAGTAAAATTTAAATGCTGATCCAAAGGGACTTAGAGACTTCAAAACTCGTTTCACATACTTGTTTTCTTTTGAGAAGGAAAATCTTATAAAACGGAGTCCTAAATGTTTGGAAGGTGGGTTGAAATGTATCCCCTGGTTTCTATTATGTATATAATTTTGTAATAATATGTGCCCATGGACATTATCAGTCAGGGACTGCAGAAAGGCCCTCTGGGAAGTATCCACCACCGAGGGTCATAAGAGTTCTGAGACCCCCCCTTTCCCCCATTGTCATGTAATCCTGGACATGGCTTAATTCTATCTAGCTGTCAAGTCAACACACAGTGAATGTTTTTTGCTTGATAAGTAGTTGAGCGGGGGGCCTGAAATTTAGTCTTAGACATGGGCCCTACCTACCATAAAACATTTAGTTTTGATTCCCCAAATCTGGTGCAATGTATTTAGGTGGAAAGCTTTGGGAAATGAAAACACACATACATTTTACTATGAACACCCATGCTCAACCCAGCTATCACCAATTCCCAACATTTATTAAATGCCCTTACCCTAATTCTAAGATTTAATGTTCCCCCTAAAAGTCACACTTAAAGTGTATTTATGGATACCATTTACAATGATATAATAATTTTCACACTGTACTTCAATTATTTCTAATGTTCGCTATTTTATAGACGTTTGTAAACTTTATGAAGATCCCCACACATTTACTTCTTTGATATTTGTGACATGTACTGTATTCACTGTGAGTAGCACTGCTGTGTCACATAATTCACAGAGCCTGCCTTCTGAACTACAGAGGTGCTGAGACAACTAGTTCCAGGAGGCGGAGTCTGTACAGGAAGCACATCTTGCAGGCAGCAAGGCACCATGGGATATGTAGTCGGAAAGTAAGGGGCAGAGGAGAAGCTGCAAAGAATGCAGGGAATCCAGGAAGTTGTTGAAGGAGATGGCTAGTAGATATGCAGCTCGCACAACAGGAGATTTTCAAGTAAGCATATATTGGATTGTCAAAATAAGTACTTCCAAGCACTGAAAACTTGTTATCAGACGTAAAGATTTTCCAACATGTTGGAACATACTGTATCTGTGTTATTTGCAAAAGAAACAAATCTCACTGTTGTATCAATATTTCCCGTGAGGCAGAATCGGGTCCTGATGCTTCCACATTGCCAAATGGCTTACTAGCTGTAACCATTAGTGAAGTATCTGTAGGTCTTTGGCCAGCTCTAGGCATATTGCTGCATTGATCTCTCTGAACCTGTCCTGAATTATTCTTGCTGCCTACAGCAACCAGATTCCAACTGTCATTTTCCCCAGTACAGGTTAGAGAATGAAATGTTTCATTGGGTTGGTACGTGCCACGTTTTTCCTAGAATACAGGTCCTTATTAATCAGGCTCAGAGGCATGAACTGTGCATATTTGTCAATGCAGGGATGTTCAATTCATATTGCCCAACACCCAGGACATGTAGTTCCAGGCTCCGGGCTGGTAGTTTTTTGTAACCTTTAGCCCTGCGGCAGGCAATCAGGTGGAAGCATTTGGGCGGCAGCGCTCTTGCCCACTTGCTTCCACACTGCCCACTATGTCTCCTGGGCTCTGTTTGCCCATCTGTGGGCCCAAGACCAGTTCAGTGGGTGCGGGTATAGGACAGGGAGGAGAGTGGACACATCTGCTCCCCTCCCCTTCTTGTCCTGACCCGGAAGTGATGTGACATCACTTCCGGGTCTCCGTTGACAAATTTCCCAGCAATCGAGGCCGGGAAAGAATGTAATGCAGTGCGATATACACTGCATTACATCCAGTGTAGTATAGGGGACACATGCAGGGTCTTTTAGAGCCTGGATGTCTCAAAAAAGAGAACCTGTCACCAAAAATCATGACATAGGGGACTTTTTGTCCCCTATGGGATGAAAAAAAAAAAACGTTAAGTAAAAAATTTTTTTTTATAAATTTAAAAAAATGTAATTTACACCCAAGCATATAACCCCCCAAAATTTTTCAAGGCTCCCCACCCCCACATATGTACACACTTACAAATGTAAACGCACACGCTGGGGCACCTACGCATGAAAACGACGATTGCGCTACACATTACTTATCACCGCACACGCCAGAATGAGAGCAATAATTCTAGCACCAGACCCCCTCCGTAACACTAAACTGATGACCTATAAGAGGCTTTAAAAGAGTCACCTATAGAAAATATAGGGTTACTAAAGTTTGTTGCCATTTCACGAGTGCATGCAAATTTAAGGTTCAACATGATGGATATCTATTTACTTGATGCAACTTCATCTTTTATATTTTATTAAAAAAATTGATAATTTGTTGATTTTTGTGCCCTAAAATTAACTGCAGTGTAGTTTTTACTGAAATTTTGCGTTTCCTAGACCTTTGTGATAATATCGTGTGACATAAAAAATTGGAACTGCCACTATTTTATTCTCTAGGGTCTCTGATTTCAGAAAATATATAATGTTTTGGAGTTTTGTGTAATCTTCAGGCCTTAAATGATTGTTTAAATGTGTGCAAAAAATGCAAAAACAGCTCTGTCAACGAAAGGGATAAATGATAAGCCCGACACTGCCCTTTTTCCGAGGAGCACCCAATTGGTGCCCACTACACTGCAAGGTTTCTCCCCTTCCTGCAAGTCCATGGGTGTGGTGCTGGAGGCAGGCAGGGAGGTGATGAGGAGATAAACAGTGCAATGTTAAAAATATTAAACGTTTAAGTCTCCATAAAGCTCCTTATGTTTTTAAAAGCCCCAGACATTACTTAAAGCAGATTTAAATACGGTTTTGGTTAAAATTTATTTATTTTTTATCAGGGCAAGTAGATTGTCATTAGGGACAAGTAGATTGGGGCACTGATTTAGTCCCTGGACAAGTAGTTTTTAAAAAAATGTCCACACCCCTGCAATGTTTACAAATTTCCAAGTACTGTGTTTCAAGTTGGTCGATCTGAGTGCATCATAAATGGCCTACCTTGGTTAACATACTTTCACTATAGTGCCAAAAGTATTGGGACGCCTGCCTTTACACGCTCATGAAATTTAATGGCATCCCAGTCTTAGTCAGTAGGGCTCAATATGGAGTTGACCCACCCTTTGCAGCTATAACAGCTTCAATTCTTCTGGGAAGGCTGTCCACAAGGTTTAGGAGTGTATCTATGGGAATGTCTGACCATTCTTCCAGAAGCGCATTTGTGAAGTCAGGCACTGATGTCGGATGAGAAGGCCTGGCTAGCAGTCTCTACTCTAATTCATCCCAAAGGTGTTCTATCATGTTGAGGTCAGGACTCTGTGCAGGCTAGTCAAGTTCCTCCACCTCAAACTCGCTCATCCATGTCTTCATGGACCTCACTTTGTGCACTGGTGCGCAGTCTTGTTGGAACGGAAAGGGTCCATCCTTAAACTGTTCTCACAAAGTTGGGAGCATGAAATTGTCCACAATGGGGTCCAAACCCTGAAAAAACAACCCCACACCATAATACCCCCTCCACCAAACTTGGCACAATGCAGTCAGGCAAGTACCGTTCTCCAGGCAACCGACAAACCTAGGCATGCCAGACAGAGAAGTGTGATTCATCACTCCAGAGAACACCTCTCTAGTCCTCTAGAGTCCAGTAATGGCATGCTTTACACCACTGCATCCAATGCTTTGCATTGCACTTGGTGATTTAAGGCTTGGATGCAGCTGCTCGGCCATGGAAACCCATTCCATGAAGCTCTCTACGCACTGTTGTTTTTTTAATCTGAAGGTCACACGAATTTTGGAGGTCTTTAGCTATTGACTCTATAGATAGTTGGTGACTTCTATGAACTGTGTGCTTATGCGTGGGCTGACCTCACTCTATCATTTTAAGTGGCCTACAATTCCTTAGCTGAGGTTCTGTTGTTCCCAGTTTCTTTCAGTTTGTTATAATACCAATAACAGTTGACTGTGGAATATTTAGTAACAAGGGAATATCATGGATGGACTTATTGCACAGGTGGCAACCTATCACGATACCACACTTGAATTCACTAAGCTCCTGAGAGTGACCCATTCTTTCACAAATGTTTGTAGAAACAGTCTGCATGCCTAGGTGCTTGATTTTATATACCTGTGGCTATGGAGGTGATTGGAACACCTGAATCCAGTGATTTGGCAATATAGTGTGTGTGTGTGTGTGTGTGTGTATGTATATATATATATTTTTTTTTACAACTCCTGTTACAGTCTGAGCCCATCTGGGGTAACAGGATAATTTCTACAGTATGTCTGTATTATATTTTTGTTGATTGTTAACATAATAATTTGTTGTAAACTGAATACTTATTATGTTATTATGTGTTAATTATTTTAAATTTAATAAAAATTATTGAAAAAAAAATAAATGGCCTGCCTAACTAACATCTTTATGTATTTTAAATTATGTTTTCAAAGCTAGCATAACATGCACAACCTGAACAGTGATAGCTTATAAGAGCTGAATATAAAATAAATAACACACGTATTTTTTTATAAAACTAAAATTTTGGAGCTTTCCAGGGACAGATATTCAAATCCTAGGTCCACTCTTGGAAATGATCATAGTCACCTCATTGAAACATGAATTTTATTTCTTGCTATAGGTTTTTGCAATGTGCTAACTAGAATTGAGTGTTGCACTGCTTTTCTAAATAAGCCAAACATGTATGGTCTGCATGATAATACAATCTCATTGACTGCTTTACACAAAGCTGATAAGCTATTAGTTTCTAGTAACGAGTCCAGGTGGCCATTGTCTAATGTCTTTTGTATAATGAGGGTGCCCTTACTGACCAGCAAGGCGGTCTCAAGTGGAGAGGCAGAGGATGGGTAGGTGCAACTTGACTTTGAGGGCAAGGTGTAAGCCTGAATTTGAAGAAGTAAAGGCCTGTAACATATCTAAAACAATCACAGGTAAAAAGACTTGTTTGGACAAGAGAGTTAATAGCGGCACCTTATGGTGCCTGCTCTTATGCAGCATTTTATTTTTAGATATTCAGAAGGGATGGCAAGTCCAATTTAAGTACTTTCAATTGAAATACTTCGCTGACAGATGCTATTCACATATTAAACCCACGTAATTCCTATACACTATATAACAGTGACTCTGTCGTACAAAAGTAGAAAGTGTTTCTCCAGGCTCATTCTTAACATAAGGGTCAGCCATGAAAACATTTAACAGAATAAAGAGTCAGAAGACATTGAGACATTGATAATAAGCTGTACATCCCAGTTATTGTTATGTCTCTTGTAAGAATTAAAGGTAGTGATTACATTAGTGGCTGTATTCTTGGATTGAAGAATATCTATCTATTTAAATAATATAGAAAAACTCAAAAAGATAACATTTATGAAAGCAGTAAATTACTTTCTAAAGGTTTGAATATCTGACTGAATGGATTCTGTTTGCTGTAAACATTTTATATAAGCCTCTCAATTTTTTTAACCACAAAGGAGTACTACATTGGTGGTCAGTGGAGAAGTGTCCCTTTACAGTGATGGTCAGTTTTGTTTCCTCTTTCATTGGTAGTCAGTGGAAAACTGCTCCTTTACATATGTGATCAGTCAAGAGGTGTCCCTTTAAATTTTATTGGTGGTCAGTGGAAAGGTTCCTTCTTAAAGTTATGGTGAATGTATTGCCCTCTTACATAGATGGTCAGTGAAGTGTCCCTTTACATTGGGGGTCAGCGAGAAGAATGTCCCCTTATAAACAGGATTAATTATCTTCTACTCCTTCTCCACTGCTAGCCTGCTAGAAGGCACCTGGACTACACAGGCATAATTGGGCAGGAAATTAATCTGTCATAGAATTTATGCCAGTTTTCATGATGCCTTGGTGAAACCTAAGTAACTTCTTGCAGAATCCTGACTGAGAAGGTTGGAACACTCCTGGCAATAACAGATATAGGTCGAAAACATCATATATTACATTGATGGATCTGTTAGAGGATACAGATCAGAGATGTATTATGTGCTCTCCAGTTTATCCTTCACAGAGACATTTAGGGAAATTGCTTAGCTTGGTAATACAAATAGCACTCAGCCTGTAATAGTTATACATAAGGAAGGGGAAATATCCCCAGTTGTGTTCTAGGCAGCAGCAGGACCAATTTTCTGCATGGTCCACAAAGACAGGGATCTAATGCGACAAGGCTTCCACTGACAGCACACAGCCATCCACAGATGATGTTGCTCACTGCCAGAAACACATTATTTCTGTATATTATAAAAGTTTCCAGATGGGTGTCCTACCTGTCAGAACAATCTGGGTATTCTTAATTGCTGTCCTTGCACATTTTTTACTTTTTTAGTTGGTAGAATAGGATACTGTGTTCATATACCCTTTCTGGGTGTATACACCTGGCTTCAACCTTCTAGTGGAGTTGGCAGACAGTACTCCCTGCTATTCAAGCTGTTGGTTCTAGGTGTACTGATGCAAACTGGGCATTCTGCCTTTCAGTTTGTCTTGAAAAATTCACACCCCAGGGGCTCTTTTGAAAGTAAAATTCAATCAGAAAGATGCCATTTTCCTGCAGTTAAAAAAATAATTTACTAACATTGCTATTTATTTGCTTATCATGGCAACTAGGTGCCTTTATTGGATTAATTTGTAACATGTACATTGATCCACAGAAGAAATAAGAAAGAGAAATCATGCTAAGCAATGGGCCTACTGCACCATTCAGAAAGTTTTTTTCACATTTTTGTTCAGTTTCTATGTGTTACATTGCATTTTTCCGGTGGGGTTTTATGTTGTGGGGTATGCAGAACCTAAAAAAATGCAAATATGCACCAGAAAAGTACTGTAATTCTAAAGCCAATTGCAGTGCATGTAGAATGCACAAAAATACATTAAAATGCATGTTAAAAATACATAGGTTTTACATAAAGATGTATGAATAGGCCCTGAGGTTTTAGGGGCTATTGAAGGTCAAAAGCTAACTTTGGTCAGTACAAATCAGTGCAATGCGGATGCAAGTATGTTGCTGTTCTTAAAGCTTAACAATTACTGAATATTGTGCGGTCTGTAGTTTTCCCTTAATGCTCAATTACAGTTTTCTACAAATATTTCTATTTGGTATAGAACATAAATATTGAACGAGGTCTATTCATGTGTAATCCAGCAAATCTTTTCCATCCCTTCCTTCTGGTTGAGGTTTATTTTCTTATTTTGTCCATAATCCTTTTCTCTCAGTTCATGGAATATTATTTTAAACTCTGCACATCACAAAATTCTTTTTATACTATCTAGATAAATAAGTGACACTCAGCCTACTCATGCCAATCATGCTAGTAGCATTTTATTTTATTTTTAATCTATGTTAGAAAAGGAGTATTTATTTTGGTGACTAACCAGATGGAGCTTAAGCGACAACAAGTACCAAGCTCCGATTATGAATCCAGAACTCACAAATGGTCACAGGCGTCTAGGCTACCATACATTTATAATGAACACAATGGATCTGCTGGGTCCAGCTCACTTACTGCCATCTGGTTCAATAATTGTTATTAAACAAAAACTTCTTCATTGTCCGCATAGCTGTGAAAACAATGCCTGCTCAGCATAGCAGAATACCATCCCAGTACTATCTTACCTCTTATTTTTTTGTGTTTGCTTCCCAGTGATAAGTGTATAAGTAACTTTATCACTAACAAGTAGATTTTACAAATAAGCTTTTTTTTATGCACATATGATTAACTATGTTGTTTTAATATACCAGTTTGGTGAAGGCATAGATACTATGTATATGAGCACTTTGGATTCAAATAATGTCTTTTTTGTGGGAAGGGGGTAGAAGAATCTTCAGTATCTTTGAAACACAGTTGGGATGTGGCTTAGGCAGCTGAGAAGATCAGAAGCATTGCAATGATCATGTCATGACCTGTCTGTCCTTATTTCCTCTGGGAAAGCAGTCAAATCTCTTATGTAGAGGGCTGGGGCAACCATTGTATTTAAAGAGCAAGGTAATAATATAAAACAGCTACGTAAATTGTTTGCAATATATAAATACCTGCAAATCTTAAACTAAAGTAAAACAAAAGAAGAGGAATTAGAACATCTGTCAGGTTTTTATTTGTTTATATTTGTTCTGTTTACTGTTATGGCCAAAAGAGAAAGAAATGTTTGGTTGTCTCCAGAACAGTAATAGAGGGGAAATCTTCCAGTGGGGACAGTAGTTCTGGTGACCCTGGTGACCACCAGGGATTCCCTAACTTTGAAGGGATTTCCACCCACTTTCTCTCTTGGTTATAGGACAGGAAGTGAAGGGAAATCTCCTTAATGGTACACAGTTCCAAAAAGTTTTGTCTTTTAGTTCTATTTTAATGATTAAAGTATTACTAAAGATAAAACTTTTTTTTGTTTTGGGTACAGTAGATAGGGATTAGAACCCCATGTCAGGTGTCTATTGCTGCCTGTGCCCTCATTAGAGAGATTCACCCTTTTTATTTTTTCTGTTTACTGTTATCATTGAAAGTGAAAGTAAAAGAAATCTCAAATTTTGGGTTGTCCCCAGAAAAGTAATAGAGGGGAAATCTTCCAATGGGGACACTAGTTCTGGTGACCTGGGGGTCCCTAGGGAATTGCCTTAATTTGCAGGAATTTCTCTCACTTCCTGTTTGGCTATAGGACAGGAAGTGAAGGGAAATCTCGGCAAAGGGACATAGATGGCAAAAATATGACAGGTTATAACCCTCCCTTGTTCTACCCGAAATGAAAAAAAAGGTTTGCCTATAGTTCTACTTTAATATTCTGCTAATATTTGCCTATCTGTCTAAAGGGCAGTCCAGTAAATGGCACCATCTCACTATTTCTGTGGCTGATACTCTGGGCTGTTGTGTTTTATAGTTTTTAAGTATTGGTCTTACCATCAATATTTTTTGATGGTAAGATCAGGGGTGTATCTAGTGATGTGTAGTCCTGTGTAGTCTTGTGTAGTAACATATCACATATCATTGTTCTTTAGTCTATCTGCAATATATTATAGCTGAACACTGACATTTGAATCACTTGTTTAAGACACACACACTCCGTTATTAGATTAGACACTATAGAATGGCATTACAAAC